GGTTGTGAAGAGGAAAATTATACCAGACCCCTCCCCCTCCTGGAAAAGAAAGGTCACAGAACGCTTAGGTCCCCCTCCCCTCCAGATGGCAGAGGCTAATTGGCATTCCTCAGACCACAGGGGGTGAGGACTGACCTGTGGGTGGGGAGGGGGTCCAGACCACGTGGACAATGGACCATTGGCCACACACAGACAAGGGAGGTCCTTGCCACCTCATTCTCTAAAGACCAATCAGTTTAAAAAGTCACTCTTCTGCCAATCATATTGTGCCTAATGGCTGCTACCCCTAGAGACTGAATAAATATCTACTGAACAAGCTACACGGGTTGCCTCTCCTTTTGGGATGCAGGATGGCCCCAGCATGCTGGAACATTAAACATTTCTCTTGCGTTTTGTAGTGATCTTTCGTCTCGGCGTGGTTCTCAGGGGGTCTCTGGTAAACTAAGGCTCTGCTTGCTAGAGTCTTGCAGCTGTAGACTCAGAGTCAACTCAAGCTGTTTAGCACTGAGAGATGTGATATAGACTTGAAAGGACGGTTTTCAGACAGCAAACTAAAATCCGAACATAACTCAGGTTTGGATTTGTGAGCCGGTTAAGTTAGGATAGATGGCAGAGCGCTTTATCTAAATTGACAACTATGAGGGATTGGGTGTTGCGTGTATCTTATACTTTATAAATTACACAATTGTAATAGCTGTGCTCAATTTGTGTCTGAGAGAAAAGAGCCTTTTCATTAGACAATAAGGAGGAAATGTTGTGGATTGTCCTGGTGCTGTTTGTGTCCTAATGTTAATTCTGCTTCCTCCAGAGGGGCCGCCTGGACAAGCAGAGGATCACATACTCAGGTGATTTCATGTGAACTTTCTCCCCATTTTAACTGGTCCAATAAAGGCAGTGATTGGGCAGTGGAAGAGAAAGGTGGGGCTGGAGGTTTTAGAGAGTTGGGGAAGAGAGGAAGGCAGGGAAGATGGAGGGAGAGGAGAGGAAATGAAGATGGAGCAGGACCACGTGACCTGAAGAAGCTGCAAGTAACGAGGGATCTCATAGCTGGGGAATAGAGGAGTGTCGTGCTAAATCTGCCCAATCCAGGTGTGCAGCTTGTACATATTATAACTGAGTTGTGAGGTTTTGCACGGGCATATTGGGTTGGAGATTTACCACAACATTATATCATTTTAAATTATATACCTCTGTATGCTACTGTTGGGTATGAACTATATGGCATGATTACATAACAAGGTGTCCCAAGCTGCTTCTGTTTGTACCGACTCCTGCACAACTTCAGTCCCATTACCAGGAAGCAGAGGCTGGACACCCCAGTCCACATAGTGAGTTCTAGGCCGCCCAGGGCTAGATAATGAGAGGACGTCCAAGTAAATAAATTAAAATGAGTTCTCATAGGAAGTTAGTTCAGATTATTTTTAGTTGACAAGACTTAAATCTCAAATGGAGAAATTAAATTAATTTTGTTGATAAGACAAAGTCATCAGCACGTCACCTGTGGAATCTTAAGACGGCATGGTTTCCACGGCTCACATATAGCTGCATGGGCCTTCAACAGCAGAGATGAAATAAGGCTAAGGAAGGTGACTTCAGGCCAGGGCTAAACCCAGGCAATGGCTTAGCGCTGGGGCTTGGAAACAGGTGAATTTTGTTTCTTGATCTGTGGTCAGGCAACTACCCCGAGACCATCTGTTAACTTGACGTGTCCAATTACCTTTACTGGGTTTTCTTAATGGTTGAGAAATCTGCAAATGAAAATAGATCTACTTCTTTCCACTATGGTTGTCATTTATGTCTTTTCACCCACCTGCCAAAAATCTCCAACAACAAAAAATAAACTCAACCACCACCACCTATGCCACCACTACCAGGCTCAGAGAGGTTTTCTGCGCCTCCATTTCTACATTATAAAATAGGTCAGGTAGGAGCTCCCTCTTTACACATTGTCCAAAATAGCAAATGACACCTATGGGCAAAACTTGGAGTCTGAGGTCTTCAACGGAATAAATATTTTGTTAGCATTTGCCATTATTATTAATGTGAGTGACAGGGCCACTCCTATTATGACAGTTGGCATCAACTTTTCAAATAAATATATTTTACTTTGTAGTATAAATGAAGCGCTATTTGTCTAAATATTTTCCAATCCACTGACATGAATTTGGTCCCTGTATTTATTATCATCAATATTACTGTTGGAAGCCAGGCATGGTGATACACATCTAATACCAGCATTTGACAGGCTGAAATAGAAGGATTTAGAGTTGATACCCAACACCTACATGGTAGCTCACAGCCATTTAACTCCAGCCCCAGAGGATCTCTTCTGAACTCTGTGGATACCAAGCACAGATGTAGTGCACATACGTACACAAAGGAAAACACTAAACAAACCAGTCTAAAAGAGGTTGAGTTTGCTGGGCGGTGGTGGCGCACACCTTTAATCCCAGCACTTGGGAGACAGAGGCAGGCTGTCAGAGACTTCTGAGTTCGAGGCCAACCTGGTCTACAGAGTGAGTTCTAGGACAGCCGGGGCTACACAGAGAAACCTTGTCTCAAAAAAAAAACAAAAAAAATAAAAACAAAAAAAAAAACAAAAAAAAAAAAGAAAGAAAGAAAACCTCTTTGAGTTTTTCAGTCTCACCTGTTCATGGTGGTCTAGAGCTTCCCTGTAGGACCCCGAAGGGCTGCCATGCCCTGGCTGAGACTTTCCTTTTGCTGCTGTCTGACAAGTAACATTCTGCTGTTTTTCTAAGATCAAAACATCCTGATATAGGTATGGTGCCCCAGGAAGGGAATTTACACTTGACATCCCATTGCCCCCCAGTTGAGTTCCTGTTTGTGTTTTTCCTTCCCTGGCTTGGTGTATATATTGAACCTGCTCAGTAAAAGCATTGCCATTCTCTTATAATGAATTACCCGAGTCTCTGTCTTCCTTTAATCCCTCAGGCCTACGCCCGAGCTCGGTACCATTGGCAGCGTGGTGCTGTCACTTCCCCACAAATACTGCAAGCTTCTCACTCCTCTCTTGGTATTGGTGGCATATCAAGAGATGTGTGACCTTAACACCTGGTCTGGAGGAGTTAGAATAGATTGAGATATGTCCAAGAAATTATATTAATGGAAATGACAGTCCAGAAATATTAATGGAAAAAGTTCTATTTGGGGTGTTTATGATGTTCTGAACAAATCTTTAACTTTTCAGACAGGACTTTCTTAATGGAATCTAAGCAGAAGGGCCCCTAATACATGAAAGAACTGGATATGGAAGGAAGAAGGCAGGAAAGTCCAGAAATACGAGGTCACCACATATTTGGGTGAGATGGGATAACATTGCAGTTATTTTGTGGATGGATACCCCATTAATTACACTACAAAACAGCCTGTGGTGGCTGACATGTCTGTATTAGTGCCTCCTCCCCACAGGTTACTGAGCAACATTAAAAATGACCCCAGAAAGCTGAAGTCTGTGAGACGGTGGGTAAGGCTGGGAACAGCCTGGACCATGAGGAAGAGAGAATGGCAAAGCCAGATGAAGTAGAGGGGTCAAGAGTGGGAAGCATGTGCCTCGTAGATGTCACTGGCTGCCAGCTCTCTCCCACAAGTCTATCTCTATGTCAAGAACTACAGGACTAGAAATTTGCACAAGATTTATTTGCACCAAGTATAGTACACACTGCACAGACTCAGAGTTCCTTGAATAACACACGGAACAGGGTGTTCAGAGAGGGAGCAGTGTCTGTCCCCCTGGGGAATCTGGGCTTATATGCTTTTTAAGAGGATTTGGAGCAAGATGTAGCCCCATTTCTCTTTCTTGAATTGGACTGTGCATGAGGTATTTAGCTGGTTGGGCCATTTTAAATGATAGCAGAGACCTGACTGGATGAGAGGCAGGTGGGGACCTCTGAAGAAAAAAAAAACCCACCCAGCCCATCTGGCCTTGTTATTTATCTTTTTATTATCCTATTAGATGAGCTGCTTGCCCAGAACTAAGTTGAGCTCCTTCGGGCCAGCCTTCTCCGCATCTGTTTCGGTTAGAACCCAAGGAATCCACTGGGCTTCTTGGAAAGCTTCCCAGGCAGTTTGTAGGTGTAAGAGTGTGTCTAGGTGCTGACCACCATGCCTTCCTCTTGTACCTCCTGATTACTTCAGTCAGGAAGTGATTTGGAAAGTTTGTTGTGCTGCCAATGTAATAAAAAAAGAAGATGGCTGTAATGTGAATTTGAATATTACATTGAAATACCATTGGCTCCTTCGTCTTTCCACCAAAGATATGAAGAACATCAGAAACAAGTGAGGATATTATTGAAATTTTGTTTGGGGGAAAAAGTGACTGATGGTCCCGCTTTTAATCCCAGCACTCAGGAGGCAGAGGCAGGAGGATCTTTATGAGTTTGAAGCCAGCCTGGTCTACAGAGCAAGTTCCCAGACAGCTAAAGCTACGTAGAGATACCCTGTCTCAGAAAAACAAAACAAAAGGACTGTTTAGACAAAAATAATAGCAATAGATTATGGGTATCTACAGACTTGGAAAAAGCAGAATTCATGGAAAGAATAGCATTCTCACCGGAAGAGGAAGAATGAACAGCCAGAGCACAGGCTGTGGGGACAAGAGGGAGATGCTGTAAAGCTTAAAGCAACATTTCAACATTTGCCAATGAGGTAGCAAAAATGGGATGATGGTAGGTCCACAGTGACAAAAGGCAGGACAAAAAAAAAAAAAGGCAGGACACGTGTAAGAAAAGAAGGGGGGTGGAAGGGGTGGGAGGTGTCCTCTATGCAGATTAGGGAGCTCAAGGGGCTTCCCGGGCTGCTTGTCATTTCGGAAACCCAAGTATCGTGGGAGGGAGAGTGGGGCCAGGAGGAGAGTGGGGCCGTAAGTGACAGACGTACACAGAAGATGCTTCTGTATCTGAGAAAGCCAGCAAGCACCGGCAGCGAAGTGATTGTGTGTTTATAGCTGGTGGGTGTGAGTCGGGGCTGGATGTTGGGAAAGCATACTTACCAGACAGAGGAGATAGATACCATGTTCACGAAGGTGGCTTTCCCAGGTCGAGGCTCATCCATTGCACTTGGGGTGTGCTGACCTGCAATTTCCCCAAATGCGGGAAACTCAGCTGCATAACTTGTGGTAGTGGGGGGAGCTGCGTTCGCGCTCTCCCATGAATGTTGCTGTAAATAAAGACTGGTAATTTTTCGATAAAGTCTTATTTGAGAAAGTGTTCAGCCTTTAGATAAGATGCTTGCTAGCCTGTGCTTCGGTGTCCACTTTATTTTGACCATTTTATCTAGCAAGACGCTAGATGTGTTAGATATAAGTAAATGAAAATGAAATCCACACAGCCACAAAAGATAATTAAGAAGTTTCATCACCTGGTATACAGAGTGAGTTCCAGGACAGCCCGGGATATACAGAGAAACCCTGTCTCGAAAAAAAAAAAAAAAGTTTCATCACTCATAAGCGCCTAGTACTTGTTTTATTTTTCCTTTTAATCTGTAACGCTTGAAAATGAGGATGTCACATTACCAACGGAGTTCTTGTTCGTAGAATGTTTTTGAAGCTCCTGTGTGTGCATATTTTGCCTACTTTCATACATGAAATACCTTCCATAATAGTGCTGCTGCTGCTACAGCAGAAAATTGTGTAATTGTTTGCAGTAGAACCCGGGTTTATCGAAATAACTCCCCACTCCGACAAGGAACTCCTAATCTGAATTTATGGAATTTAGTCCTGGCATGAACAACGTTTCTACGGTTAGGATTTTATTTAGCTGTTGTCCTTACACATTGTCCTCAGAAAGGATTGTTCTGGTGAGAGTCACTCTAAACAGGAGACTTCTATTTGATTCTTCGGTAACTGCGGTTCAGGAATGTTGAGAAACATCAGGACAGTATCCGAAGAGCTGAAAAATCTTCCAAACCCTATCCTCTTTTTCTTGCCTAGAATATCGATGTGAAACCATTTTCTGGCATGAGAATAAAAACCTCAGGCTAAGGGTGACTGAGTGGAAACAGAAAGAACTTGAAAATAGTTGACCAGCTGTGGTAGTGATATTCAGTATTCATAAATTTGTGCCTGGACTCCTGCTTGAGCCACAGCCAGAAAAGTTTAATGTTAACACTTTCAGCAAATAAATAAATAAATAAATAAATAAAATAAAAATAAATAAAAAATATGCCTGGGTTCTTGTCCTGGTTTTAGATTCTAATTTCGAGAGAAAAACGTGTAGGTAGTAGACAGAAAAGAACATACTGCATTGGCCGGGAAGGAGGCAGGTCACTTCTAATGAACTGAAACTCCCACATAGTGGCAGGCAGAAGGAGAAAGAAGTCTGTTGGTCGTGCCGCGAAACTCCTAGAATGACAAATTTGGCCTAGATTTATCACAGCCTAGCATCTAGAAGGGTCTGTGTTTCCGTCCTCAATACTGGAAATTTTTAACAGTCTCAAGAGAAAACATTGGTTTATGTTGCTATTTTTCTGTAGAAATTCATTGAGATGCATAGCATCTCTTACCTTTTCCTGACGCACTGTCACCAAACACTTTTAAGGTTGCATTGGTGGTTCAATGGTAGAATTCTCGCCTCCCACGCGGGTGACCCGGGTTCGATTCCCGGCCAATGCAGTATGTTCTTTTCTGTCTACTACCTACACGTTTTTCTCTTGAAATTAGAATCTAAAACCAGGACAAGAACCCAGGCTTTTTTTTTTTTTTTTTTTTTTTTTTCTGCAAGTGTTAAGATTAAACTTTTCTGGTTGTGGTCCAGGCACAAATTTATGAACACTGAATATCACTACCACAGCTGGTCAACTATTTTCAAGTTCTTTCTGTTTCCACTCAGTCACCCTTAGCCTGAGGTTTTTATTCTCATGCCAGAAAATTAGAGTTTCAGGTGAAACTCTTGGTTCTCACCAGTGACCAAAATATGTTTAATTCAGTAGTCAAAACCACACTTGGTATAGGTCCTTGACCACATCCCATCTGTGTGACACACACGGACTGACAAAAACCTTCTCTGAGCACCACACATTCTGTTCCCGCTGGTTTGGGCAGGAAGAAGGCAGAGGTGTGTGTAGGTGGGGGAAGCAGGCCATTGTTCCCCAGGGTTGTGAGTTGTTTACTTTGCAGGGCGGGTGGTCTCCTAACGGGCAACAGCTGCTCTTCTGGGTCGTTACATAAACAACCGCTGGAAAAAGTAGTCAGTAAACTAATTAAGCACCATCTGTGTGAAAAGTCATGCCATCCTTAAAACCACCCAGGAGATGCTGGACTAGAGCAAAAAGGAAGAGCCCTAAATCCGCCCACACGCTCACTCTCCTCCCCTTCCCCCCTCCAGAAACCTTACTGATGCTTAAACCTGACCACTGGTGGACAGAGATGGAAAGAGAAATCAGAACGGTGGCTGTGTATGTGAAGTGGGTGATGACTAACCCAGGCCGATGGAGATCAAACGCTCTCTCTACCGCTTGACAGCCACACACAGTCATAAAAATAATTGAAGAAAGTCATCGTTAATTTTACTCTATCAACTAGAATTTACTAAAAATACTGGAACCGTGGAATGAGAACTGTGATGTCACGTCACTCTTGGCTGGCAATGCCCAGGCAAATAGGAGGAGGAAAGGGGTGGAGGAGGGAGAGAAGCGGAGGAGGCGGGGAGGAGGCCTTAACCTAAGCTCCTGAGGGGACAGATTGCTGCGGCCTGGTTTGTTTTTGTTCGCTTGCTTGCTTTGTGGTTTTGTTTTGTTTTGTTTTGTTTTGTTTTGCATCCTGCCCTTGGAAGTTAGCACAACTAAAGATTCCCCCTCCCCCAAGGCCGGGCTGGTGAGCTGTAGCATTAACTTCTGAAGGAACAGAAACACTCTTGCTGATCATCTGCGACTTGTTAGAGTTGTCTCCAGTTACGCCCGGGGATAGAGGATATCCATCAAGTCAGACTGAAAACACTAGCAGGAAGCCGTGGTCCACAACCTAGCAGTCACTTTGTTATGTGGCACCTGAAGGGTACCTGAGAAGCTTGAATACATCCAATTATATATGGAGCCTTTTAAGTACTGTCGGGACTGCGTCACACAGAGTAGTGGAGTGAGCAGCCCCGACCTCCAATTTGAGTTTCTGAAGGCAAAGACTACAACTGTGTGACGTATACAGAAAGGCTGCTGAGAGCAAACATGGGTTACAGAAATGGGAAAATAACAATTAAATGGTCAAGGCATTATATAGAATGTCCTTGAGGGCAGGGATACATTGTATAGAAATTTATGGCTGGTCTATATAACAAGGGACTAGTTTACCTAAGATTATTTTGGCACTTAAAAGTTTTTCTTTCTTTTTTTAATTGGAAATTTTCTTTATTTACATTTCAAATATTATCACCTTCCCCGGTTTCCCCTCCGGAAACCCCCTATCCCATCCCCCCACCCCCCTAAAGTGTTTCTTTTCTTTGTTTGTTTGATTGATTGATTTTTGAGACAGGGTTTCTTTGTGTAGCTCTGGCTGTCCTGGAACCTTTTCTGGTCTTAAATCCACAAAGATCCATCTGCCTCTATTTCCAGAGAACTGAGACCAAAGACATGAGTCATCCTTTTCGGTTTAAAGTATTTGTTAAGAATCACAATACTTCTGAGTGCCCGGCTAGCTCAGTCGGTAGAGCATGAGACTCTTAATCTCAGGGTCGTGGGTTCGAGCCCCACGTTGGGCGTATGCTTTTGGTTTCTGTGGTTAAGAAAACGGAGTTCTGTCTGAAACAACTGCGTAGTAGCTCACAACAACCATCTGAGTTTGAAGCCAGCCTAGTCTACAAAGTGAGTTCCAGGATTGTACTGCATACTTTCAAGAGATAGTTCAGTAGCCCAGTACACTTTATCTCTCTCAAGGAGACTGTAGAGAGCAATCTAGAAAGGGTTTACAATAAACAGAATTAAACGCCAGTAATGACAACACAAAATCCTTTTTTCATCTTTCTAATAGAGAGTAACCTTATAAAAGGAACCTATCTTTGTTTAAGATGTCATTACACAGGGGTAAAGCCTCTTCAGGATGTGCTTGAGGCTAAGGAGACTGAGAGGGACAGCTTTAATCCTGCAGACCTGAATCTACAAAGAATGCCTTTGTAGTTTGACCGAAGGAGATTGCTCAAGGGGACCTGGTAAGGGCCTTTCCATCAGGGAGGGGGCTGATACAATGAGGATCTTTCCTTACAGGTCTTTAATGCCTAGTCTTCAGGCTGTACTTGTGGTTCATGTTTTATTACCAGGAAGGACATCATTAATATATGTGTGTGTGTGTATAATTTATTTATTTTCTTTTGTCTTTTTCTTTTTTTTTTTCAGATGTGAGGACCGAACCCAAGGCTTTGTGCTTCCTAGACAAGGACTCTACCACTGAGCTAAATCCCCAACCCCATATATATGTATACATACATATATATCTAGTGTATTTTCTGTATATGGGTGTTTTACCTGTATATGTATTTATACCACTTACATGTCTAATGCCCAGAGAGGCCAGAAGGGGGCATCAGGGCTTTAATTGAACCTGGCTTCTCTGAGGCATCTCTCCAGCTCCCTACCATATTTTAATAGTTTTCTGTGCCTGTCCTAAATTAATTATATGATGACCATTTTGGGGATTTACTGGAGCTATTCTGAGGTCAGAGGTTAGAAAAGGCCAGCTGTAAAGAATCTCAGGGCTACCAGGTGGTGGTGGCCGTGGCGCATGCCTTTAATCCCAGCACTTGGGAGGCAGAGGCAGGCGGATTTCTGAGTTCGAGGCCAGCCTGGCCTATAGAGTGAGCTCCAGGACAAGAATCTCAGGATTGAGCTGTGGTGGGGCAAGAATTGATCTTTGACGTTTCTTTCCTATTTTTTTTTTTAAGTTAGAATTTTTTTTTTGTTTTGTTTTGTTTTTTGGGTTTTCGAGACAGGGTTTCCCTGTGTAGCCCTGGCTGTCCTTGGGTATCAACTTGACTATACCTGGAATTAACTAAAACCCAATAACTAGGCACACCTGTGAGGGATTTTTTCTTAATTATATCATTTGAAGTGGGAAGAGCCATTTCTAATCTGGAATTTGAGGTGGGAAGGTAAACCTTTAATCCAGATTGGGAAAATCCACCTTCCATCTGGACTACACCTTCTGTCAGCAGTCTATAAAGGACATGAA